CCAGGGAGACGAACCAATCCTCTCTCCTCAGCAATGGAAGGATATTCTGAAGGGTGGTCATCCGAAACTTCTTAGGTTTGATAAACCTATTAATGTCCCCTAGGTCTAGGATTGGATGGAGACCACCATCCCATTTAGGAACAGTAAAATATCTTGAACAGAATCCGTGAAGTCCCTCAGAGCAGGAAGTCTGTCAGATCGCTCCTTTACTAAGTAGTTGGATAACTTCGTCCACTAGCACTGGTGAGCGTGGTGTAGATCGGATCGGATCCGATTAAGGAACAACGTCGAATTCTATTCTGTATCCAAGCTGGATAATGGATAAAACTCACCTATCAGATGTGATGGACTCTCAAATGGGGAGTCGGCTTTGCAGTCAGTCCCCAAACGGGAGAGGGGAAGGTGGGAGCAGGAGGAGAGGAGAGGTTAGTGAAACCCATCAGCATTGGTGTTTGTCGGAATCATAACAACAACGACCCTGTTGGAATCACTGCTGCGGGGTTTGCTTTCGACGCTGCTGACATTGCTGGAAGTGTTGCCTCCCTGGAAATTGGGAATATTGCTGGGGCCAATACGAAGGACAGGACCACGACCACTTATGTCTCTGCTGGGCAGGGAGTTCCATACGACGCACTGTCATCCTTGACTCATGGATAGACTTGAGTTTGTGGTCCATCCTGGAGTGGAAAAGGCTGGAACCATCAAATGGCATTTCCTCGATTCGACACTTCATCTCATCGGGGAAATTGCAACTCCGCAGCCATGCAGGCCGGCAGAGGGAGATGGCACCGACCAGAGCGTGGAATCGGAGTCCACATGATGTCTTGCCATTGACAGCTGCTGTGTCGAGACTATATGGCCTCCTTGATGAAGACCCTTGCTAGGTCCCTTTGCTGGTCTGGTATCGAAGCGATGACATTCTCAAGCTTTTGCATGAGGAAATACTGATACCGGGCCAGCGTTGCCTCATAGTTAGATATGCAGAGCCCAAGTCCAGAGGTCACACAGACTCGAAAAGCCAGCATATCTATCTTCCGCCCTTCTTTATCCCAGGGGGCAGTGTGGCCCCGCGACTCTCTTCCCTGAGAGGACTCGACAACCACCGAGTTCAGCTTCAAGTGGTGCAGGAGAAATGGTATATCCTGCTCTCGAACCTGGTACATTGCCTCGTACCTCCTCGATGTCGGTTGCGGTTGGGTGGGCAGATCCCAAGGCTGCACCATAGCCTGGCGTAGGGTGGTAATCAATAGTAGGATAATAGATGCTGATTGCTCGCCTCTCACAATGTCATAGAACTTGTCCGTGCTGGGATCAATTCGATGTTGCGCTTCGATCTCCAGCGAACGGACAGGCCTAGCCATCAGCTCCCCGAAGGTGACATGGGGTTCCTCAGGCGATCCCGGACCCTGAGTGGTGATGGCTATGTCAGGGGAAGTCGAATCCACTTCGGAGTCATCTGAATCGTACCCATACTGCATTGGGCTGCTAGAGGATGATTCCTCTGGAGAGGCGAGATGCCCTGACCTCGATGGCCTGGAGGTAGATGGGTCTTCTCTCGGTACCAGACAGCAAGCCGATGGGTAATAGGCAAATGATGAATATTCATCCCAACCTCTGCGGTAACTGGTATAGCGGGGTTGGTCCCATTCCTCCAAGGGCTGTTCCAGTAAATGATGTCGGTGCCTGTGCTGGGATGCGACTGGTGCCAGTTGCGGCATCGGTGTCAGAGAGCGTGCCATAGGTGGTGAATCATGAATCTCACCATCCGAGATTGATTCGTGAAGCGGCACATCAGGTCGCTCGGGCGATGAATGCTCTGAGCGAATGACACTTCTAGGGGACCCTGGAGGCGTCACCTGCATAGCAATTTGCAGGGACAGGCCCGTCAGCATCGGTACCATCGCAGCCGTCAGGATCGATGGTGCCGACGATCCCGAATCACGGTGCCAACCCAGATCCGGCTTCTTACGCTTATGAGCCATCTTATCCGACTTCTCCTTCCTCGGCTTCTTATGGTCGGAGGATTTATCGGAGCCTCTATGCTTCCTTTTCTCCTTTTTCTTGTGGGGAGAAGGAGGAGGTTTCTGGGTCTCGACAACCAGGGCCCCATCAGCTGATGGGCGCTGAGGAGGTGCAGCCGAAGCAGTCTTAGCAGCCAGTTGGTCAGACTGCATGGTCCCAAAGCATTTTTTGCAGGCGATTTTCACGATTCTTCCTCACCTGCTTCGTGAAGGCCTGACAATGGCCACACTTATCCGTCCTGTGTCCCTTGCCAAGGCAAAGGAGGCACAGATCATGTGGGTTGGCTGGCGACATCTTTGACCCACATTGGGAACATTTACGAAAGGCCGTACTCTGTGCCATCGGAAAGGAAAAAGAAGAAGATAGTAAAGAGGATAAGATAATATTTTTGGTTTTGTTTTTTTTTTAACAGGAGAGTAGGAAGAACTTGAACGGGAAGAGTAACTTGGAAACTGAATAAACACTAACTAGTAGCAAGAAGATTAACGGTAAGAGTAATACGATATGATACGAACAAGAGAGAGAAAAGGCTGGAGGCACAGCGAACAGCAGTCGCAAAAGACTGAGAAAATGGTGGACACTCCGCTCTATTTATAGCTTTGTGAGGGAGGGGAGCGGAGTTTGCCGCCAAAACCGTTAGCTTTGCAATCTTTCCGGCCTTAGGCACTGTGCAGGCGCAGCACCCATATGTGTGATGCACAGAGGCCACAACAAAGAACTACAGGTGTGCTCCTGGTCCTGCAGGCACTTGCAGGATGAACCATGCTGCCTTTCACAAACACAACCCCAGCAGGAGGTGTGTCATTCTTGAAGATCCTGACAGAAGCATACTACTTCACATATTTATGAACTATACAAAGCACTTATTTAAATACTTTTAAGGGGGCTTTTAGGGAAAAATTCTCTTAAGTTAACTTTACTTGTGAGCATTTACACAGCTCTGACACACAGTTTTTCCTGGAAATTTCTTACAGAAAAGCATAAATTAGATTACATTTACAAAAGTATAAATGCCTTGGCTTTGTACAAGAAAAACTTGGAAAAGACCTATTTCTAGAAAGTATAGCAAACAATTGGATCCTGTTGCTAAGCATACACATCTTTATTTTTGTCATCTGGAAGTATGGAAAAAAAAACTTGAAAATGGAAAACACAGATGTTATGCAAACCAGTATTTTATTTAAACAAAGATTTATCCAATATTAGGAACAATTCGCTATCAAGTTAAACTTTATCGCATTTCTTTAATGCTGTACATTTTCTTACACACACACACACAGTTCCTCAATTTGCATCCCAGATAGCTTTTGCATTGGGCTTAACTGCTCTTGTCAAGGCAGAATACATACCACATGCCTCAAAATACAATGATCTTCCACCATGACCTTACAAATGCCTACATTTGCTTTCCCAGAACCCTCTCAAATACCTTCCCTAAGATATTTGTGACTTAATAGTAATTGTCAAATGCCATCGAGTCCAGAGTGGGATTTTTCCCCCAGGAGTGGCTGCATTACTGTCTCCTTAAAGAGAGCAGAAACTACCTCTATGTGCAGATATCTATTTATGTACCACTACCTAGACTCATGTAGTCATACCTGCTTGGCTAGCTTTTATTAGCCAGAAGGGGCAAGGATCTGTGGTTGTCCATATTCCCACAAGCTCTTTATCCATATCATCAGACCTCAGCACATGAACGTGTTCACACAAAATCAAGCAGTGAGACTTCTCTACTGGAGCTCCACTAACAACAGCATCAACAGAGATAAGTGATCTTGTCCTCAAAGTGTGACACAAAGAAGTCACAGTGGATCTTTGAGGGGACCCAATCCCCATTTGTAGGGAAACAGCACCCAGACCACTCAAAGGAGTTCTGCCGGATGACTGCTTGTGGACACAATGGAGGGAGCAAAGTAAACCTGCTCTGCTGCCTGCACTGCTGTGCAATAGGCACTATCATGGTCATCTTCACTTCGAGTCTTACATTGTCTGTTCTCTAGCATGGTTAGTCTGTTTCACTGATTGCTGCTCCTCAGTATATCAAGGAACAGAGTGGATTCTAATCTCACAGCTTGGAGCAAGGGTAAGTGCTCCATTTCTTGTGCTTGGCCAATGACAAACTGAGGTGGCTCTACGGTCATCATAGAGACCATGAAGTCACACTCAGCATGGAAAATAAAGTCACTCAGAACCTCAAAGGCTTCTGGGTGGGGATGCTACTGGGCACCAGTATGGGCTGTATACTGAATACCAGGGTGACCAAACAGATGCTGTTGAGCTGCATACAGCTCTTTGAGTTTATGTGCAGATTACTGCCACCACTGCTGCCCATGGCTGCCTACATGCCACTCACTGCCCCCCCCACCACCACCACCTGTGGGCACCTTCTCAAACATCTGCCATTTTCTGTATGTGGATTTTTCATTAAGCAAGTCTGGCCACTCCTGCCATAATACCATCAGCATCCACAATCTGTCTCTAGGGTCCAACACTAGGTGCAAGATGAAGTGCCCTTCTGATGAGAGATATGGAAGTTCTGCAAACTACTACAACTTCCCAATTCACTTGGCTCTTCAGCGTATTTCAGTGCTGTACCAAGTACACAGGTAGGCAGAGCAGTATCAGCCCCACCCAGGTAAGCCTACCCAAGCCCTAGTAATATATGCCAGATCAGCTTCACATCCATAGCTAAATCACGAATGGGTGTTATCTTAGTGTAGAACGACCTGGTGTTAAACACCACCACAAGACAGAAGAGTTTAATGGAATGTTAGAAACAGGTAGAAGAGAACGAGAGGGGTGGGTGGCGGATCTATATATCTCATTCTTATCTTATCATTATTGTAAGCTGTCCTGAGATCTTGTATAATAGGACGACATACAAAAGCTTTTAATAAATAATAAATAAATAAATAAATAAATAATGTCAGCTCTTCTTAAGAAAACAATGCAAGTTTGTTGTACTTGTAATTACTAACCTTTTAATGTCATTAATGAGTCTGTTCTTTTCCTGAACCACTCGCTTATGATGCATTCGATGGAAGTCACGCTCTTTCTGCATTTTTAATACTGCTTCCTTAGCCTTGCTGCATAAAAGAACAACGAAAGTATGGATTTGTTTCTGCTGTGGCTGAAGTCATAAAAATAATAAAAGTGTTTGAGGAAATAAAGACATCTAGCATTAGTTCACATCCTACCATAGGTAACAGTGTGAACTTAAAACCAGAGGAGGATACATTTTCCCTTCAATCTTTGATTTCATGTCTTTGATGAGAAGGCAGGTATATCAGGTTCTGCATTTGTGAACCACCAAGAACAAAATGTAAGTGTAAAAGAATATACATACCAGTAATACTTACAGAACTCAAAAGTTAGAAGGGGCAACCATCACTCACTTCACCCCACTTCCATCTTCTCATATTTTCTTGGACCATTTGTCCCATAAAGCCCTCTCCTTAGGAGGCAAAGCCTGGAAAAGCTAAGCTATTATCATGCAGCTGCTTATCCCAGCCTAGCCTGTTCCCAAGAACATCTCCTTCCCCGTGGGCTGAGATGCATTTTCAGGAGACCTTTCTGAAACTTTTGTTGGCCAAAGCCATAGAGATTATTAAACTGAAACCAAGGCACAACACACAGTTCATTCAACTCTACAGGGATTTCCTCTGCTATGTGTGTTTCTGACTTTGAGGAGAAGAACTGGGAGTTACCTAGGAATTCTGGATATTACCAGTACTGGATACAGTAAAATCATAGAGGATGGTACCTTTACCTATGGGAGTTCAGGTTTTCAAAAAAGTCCATACAGGCTCTTATTGCATTCAACTAAGAGTTTCCAGTTAATTGTCAGGCCTTCTTTAGTTTAAAACATACTTTATAAATGTATCCACACTTCAACACATTAGCTGTATTCATTCAACATTACAACCCTGTGTTGTTACCATGGTTTGTGGGTTATTACCATGATCTATCCAACTGATGATCAAGTGATTTCTGTATTATCATACTTTCCATTCTCCCCACTCAGTCTTTCTACTGTTGGCATATATCCCAAGGTGCACTGCTCCCTGCCTATGAACAATAGGGGCTGGATGACTAGAGTGGCCCCTGCACCTGCTGCTCTTTCCACCAGATTCTACGAAAGCTACATTCACAGACCATGGAAACTATGTTCCTGTGTTCAGACAACATGACAAGTCATGGTGGTACTGAGAAACCACAGAAGAAACTTTTTTTCTTGACTTCTAAAACTTGAACTTGCCATGGTAAATTACTGTAACTGGGTTTGGACAACACAACAGACCAGCCATGGTACCCTAACATGTAGTGTTGTCTGAACCCAGCCATTGCCTTTAAAAGCAACCACTTTCATTTATCTTGTATTATACCGTGGTACCTTGGTTCACAAACTTAATCCATTCCACGACTCTAATTGCGACCCAAATTGGTCATGACCCAAGTCAAATCTCCCCATAAGGTTTAATGTAAATAAGGTTAATCTGTTCTGTAACCATTTTTAATCACAAAAATTTGAAACAAAGTTACAAAGAACAACAAAGTAACAAAGAACAACAGAGATCACAGTCATCTCCCCCCACCCCCGAGCATGACTGCAATCGCACTGGATGCAGAGTTCAGGACCTGAGGGAAAATTTTTCTGAAATTTCTGTTCACGACCTGATTTGGTTGTGAACTGAGGCATTCATGAGCCGAGGTACCACTGTACATGTAACAATATATGGTTTGAATCCTAAGTTTCTTAACTCAAGGAACTTCATGAAAATGAATTTTTCCATATCATCTCCCCATTACAGCCCCTTGTGCCTTCACAAACTGTACAAAAGAGAGGCGCTTGAGAAGTTGGAAGTATCTTCAGGTGGAAAGATGAGATGGCAATTGTTTTTTCCATGAATTGCCTTTAGTTGAGCATGTTAGGGCACCAACCAATGGGGCTGCTTCTAATGCTCCAAAATGGAGAACCACAGGCATTCAGGGGAGGGCAGGAGGACCTGGACGGCAAGGATTATTGCCATGCTTCCCTTACCATCCAAATGGTGTTGAACCCCTGCTTTTGAAGAAGGTTTGAGGATTCTCATATCCTGAAAAGAGCCTCATTCCTCCTTCCCCTTTCCCTGGAGCACCACATTCCCAGCTCCAGTGTGAAAGCACCACACTGGCTCAATGGTGAAGAGAGGGTGCTCTCAATTTGGAGCCCCAGCTAAATCCTTAAAGCACTTTTCAAAGATATGAGCTGAGGCTCCAAAATTTCCTGTGTCTACACACCATTTAGCAGCTATGCAATTGTGCCCTTCATAACTAAGTTCCTGTTAATTGCTTTCATTAGAGTTCTGCCAGAGATTAGATGTTTGGAATTTTTTTCTGAATTGAAAGGAAGTACAAAGAAGTAGACCAAAATGTTGCCCAGCTTTGTTAGCAAAACCATGCAAGTTGTTTACATATACAATGGAGTAGAAGACTGGGCAAAGGTCAACCATTCCAAAAAAGTGTTTTTCAACCATTTCCTCGATGAGTTTTATAATTTCATTACATTATATGCACCATGATCTTTGAATCTGAAATAAGAGTTGACATCACAGAGGCTTTCTGGGAAGGATTTCTATGCATGACAGGCTGAAGCAACCCACTAACTTAAGCAGGTTCTGAAATGTTTTCCTCTATACACAGTTCTGGTACAGTGCATGAAACTGGGATATTGTATGGGCAAACTTAACTTCTTTAGTCATAGTTCTTCTCTTTCTATTCCTGTTCATGCAGGGTTTCTAGAATGCATGCTGAAACTAAATAGGTTTATCTAACATATTTGTTGTACAGTTATTTTTGCTTTTCCCTTGCAACTTGCTGAATTGAAGTTGGTAGTTCATATTTTGAATGATAGCATATCTGTTAACCTTGCTTAATGCATTTCTGTTTAGAAGTGGCACTAGAATATTACAAGGAGGGGCAACTGATTAACATCTGCAAAATCAATGTCCACAAGGAAAAGCATTCCCCAAAAATATTTGTGCCCTGAGGAACATCAGCTCACAAAACTACTATTGCCTAGCACACTTTCCCCATAAATGTGTATGGCTGAGACCTGGGACGTTCATTTTCTACCAGAAATCAACAGAAAGACAGATGCAGCAAAAACTTTCCAGGAATAAATGCCTCTCTAAGGATAGTTTGCTGCTGCCTCTCTCCAGCAGAGTGAATTTTCTCTCTCATATAAAGCATATTAATTATTCAATATTTTGTATTTTTTACACTTCATGCACTCTTAAAAGCAAATGAATACTGTCAAGCTTCATGTTTCTTTTTAACAAATGGAAGAAGTGATCCTACAGCCCCTCACATCTGAGGGGTGACACAATTTTTCACATTCCCAGTTCCACTGCTGGAGCCATGGTGCTGGGAATCAAAGTGTAAAAGTTCCTTCTCCCCCCTTTCCCCTGCCTTGCAGCTGACACAGAAAGAACTGTACTGCCTGCTTTTTTGAAGTGAGGAAAGCGCCCATGGAGAGGGATGCAAGGCATCAAGAAAGGCCAAGATATAAGGTGCCCTGCGGCAACTCCAGGCTTCTTCATACCCCCTTCAAGAAAGTAGCTGTAAGAGCAAAAAACCCATCTAGCAAAAATGTAGGATAGAAGGGAAGAGAAGGTAAATATTGCCTCTAATGCTTCTATTGCTCCACACTGGATGCCCATAAGTCTCCGAGTTCAGGGACTTATAGGCATCTTGAGATGCTTGTGCCCTTACAGATCTAATACGGTCGTTTTGCTTTTAGATCCTGGCGAATACAGTTCTTTTAAGCTATTGGAAGGAAGCCTTGCTGCCGCATCCTGCACTAGTCACAACTGCTGGATCAACCCCAAATGCACCTCCACGTTACCATCCTTCAATCCAGAGGTTACCATTGCCAGTACCAATGTCTACACTATTGTGACTAAGCTATCACAGACCAGGAACCTCCATAGTTGGTATATCAGCCATAGCTGGTAAATGTAGTCTGAGCCATCTGAGCCTTAGGTGACAAAGATGCATCTAAGAGTATACCCAAACTACATAGCTGTTCCTTCAGGGAAAGTTTAACTCCTTCCAAAACTGGCAGTTGATCTGTTGTTTCTCAGACCTGCAACCCAGCCACAATGCTTCTGTCTTGCCAGGATTTAAGTTCAGTTTATTGACTGTCCTCCAGCCCACCTTAGTATCCAAGCTTGTACAGACATACCTGAAATGTTATGGGGAAACAGCATAAACTTTAAACCAGACTGAAGAGTTTCCCTGGGCAACCCAAGTAAGACAGTAGCTCACAAATAATAACAGATCACATAAAATTTCACTATACAAAAATTAAAACAGTGTAAGCAACTAAAAATAATTACAATAAAATATTAGACATATTAAAAAGAGAGCTGACATAAATGACCTCCTCCCATCATCTGGCATTAAATACCATTCAATGCCTGTAAATGCACCTGACACTCTTAACTTGGTGCCAAAAATAACAACAGTGCTGGCACTAGGTGGGTCTCAGGGAGAAGCAGAATTGGAGGAAGTGGAGGAAACTGTGAAATGTGTGTGTGTGTGTGTGTTCATTTCCCAGAGTATCATGAGGAGGGATGTGTTCTGAGATCCTAGAGAGGGCCCTCAGGAGCATGTACATTGCTGGCCCTTCACATCACACTATTCTATAGAGAAACAAGTGTCTCAACATAATTATTAGCAATATCTGCAGGAAGCCACCCACCCACCCAGAGCATTCAGGAACCTATTTGGAGCCCATATGAAGGCTGACCATCTTTATCCCCCCACCCCACCCCCCAAGAACAGAAGGAAATAGCAGTTGCAAGTCCAAACTTAATCAGGAAGTAGTCTGACCACAATGAGAGTTACATTACATACATACCATAATATGTATCCCCAGTCACTGAGTTCACAAACATCATTTCAAAAAGCAGTGCCTTATTTCCCCATTAACTTCAGCAGCACAGTATTTCTTTTCAGTACACATTACATGGCCACCTCAGTGGAGATTAAAGTATTGTTTTCTTAGTTCTTTTGCCAAGAAAATTAACTGATATTGCTTGTATACTTGTTTGAATCAAGGAAGGCATGCTACCCAAGAAAAACATGCTATCCAAGAGAACAAATGTTTTGCCATTAATATTACTTTTTATTTATTTATAAAATTAATTAGCAGAAAACCATATGAATCAGAAGGTCTGAATACCTTTCAGAAGGCTGAATAGAGTTTTGCTTTCCTGATAGATTCTGTTTCTAGCTACCATCCCCAGCTGAATATACAGTAGACTCCTGCTCTAACTGAATACTGGAATCTCATTCTGCTCTTTGTTTCCTTGAACCCATTAGATATCTTCTGTCAATGGACACATTGTGATTAGTTTGGAGTAATACCATGGTAAGACCCCTGACCTGCCCCAACTCTGATCTGTCAACTAGCTCCTAGCAAGGTTCGTATGTTTCATGAATTATGTGGGTATAATTTAGTCCAACATATGCACCCTGATAACTTCAATTAACTGCTTACAGTCCTTACAATTAGAATTGTCGATATGTTTTGTAAATAAGTCTGAGAGTTAAACACTTGCTTAGTTCTCCCCTTGAAATTAGCAGGACTTAATTTGGCAGGATCTAGCCCCAGGTGAAAAACAGAAGACCCATTAACAACAGCATTAACATACTTGGCTGCAAATTTATAGTTCTCCATCTCCTTCCTTAAACGTTTGTTTTCCCTCTCCAACTGTTGATTGCAGGTGTATGCATCTGGAACAAATCCAACATCTTTAGGTTCAAGCATACCTCTCTGCATCAGTTCATACCTGAAATTAAATGAATAAAGTTGGTTTGTTTCTTCTCCTGCTGCCCCACTCCCTTTACTTCTCCATGACACAAGATTGGAGCCCTCTACCCATTATGCATGGTGAAGTCTCTCTATTTGCCTACTATGAAATGCAAGTTTCTAAGAGCTGAGCAGGGTTATCAAGAACAGGACTTTTGGAGGAAAACAGATTTACTTTAAGTCAGAGACAAAATGATGGCACAGAACAATAAGCTAAATGGGAATGCCAGGCATAGCAAGCTTCCCACGAATCAAAGCAATGTATTTCTTACACAAGAAGTTATTAAAATGTAGAAAGTGCTGCCAGAGTGGAAAGACTGATAATGCCATCATGGCATAAATAAAATGCACAGCATCAAATATTCCTATCAAGTGAGAGGGTACAGAAGAACAGGCCATGGTGAGCCCAGTAGCGTTGGGTGTATTATGAGTTATTCCACAATCCACACTGTGTAGCTTATTCTCAGAGTGGCTTAGTCTGTCTTGCTTAGGTGGCCCTTTTTTTCCTTGCTCAAAAGAGTGGATGAGAAATAAAACCATGTGAATGGGTATTTCCAGGGATTGTGCACTAGTGTAGGTCACTGTACTCCACAGATAGGCCACTGTATCTTCAACACATGGCTATCAAAGCACAACACTTTGCAGGAAATATTTTTAAAGATATGAATTAGGGTTTACTCCTGGGAGGAGGGACCTCCAGCTCACAGGGAAGATCAGGCTACTGGGGTTCTCTATCCAACCTAGCAGCAAGGGGCGGCATAGAAATGTTCTAATGATGATGATGATGATGCCCTGGCCCTCTTTCATAGAGAAAAAAGCTCTTATATCTGACCTAAAATCAGTTCTAATATATTGCCTATTTTCTAAAAACTGACACAAAAGAATCAGTTTCCAGTTTCCTATTGCAGACTTTAACATAGATGTTGAAAATTTCACTATTCCCACAAGCCTTTTATCAAGCTAGAGTTCTTAAAGTCTATCATGGTATGGAGCAATTTGTACTACTGTGTAAATTATCACCTTTCCAAAGTTCAAAATTTGCAAAATATTTCTGTTAATAGCTACAAATCTTTTCTTAACTTGGAGAAATGCCAATGTTCTGACCATTACTTTTGTGGCCCAGATCCAGCACTGAAGTGGGCCTTATATTTTTAGAACCAGAATCTGATCCAGGGTGGTCTGATCAAGGATATGGGCCTATTCAGCCTGTGGAATGTCAGAATTTGTGTGAGCTTATCTCTGCTTATATTCCAAGAAGAAAACAGGTGTGAGCTAAGTTACTCTCTCCAGATGATAGCTCTGGCCCTTACAGGGATGGGAGCTGCCAGCCTTTCTTTAAGAATCTTGCAGGAGAGGGACTGATTTTTGGAGGTGTCATACAGGTTTGAGTATCACTCATGAAGGGCAAAAGCCCTGGTTAAGGAGACCTTGTCAATGGTCTACAATCCCTTAAAGGAAGGCTGTTGCAACCTTTGCTTTTAAGTTGATGCCCAGGCTGGAAGTATTTACAAGGAACTTTCTCAATTTTACCAACCAAATCCACTCTGCTGAACTTACTATTGTCTAAGCTTCTTAGGGCACTCTTCCCATGGATTCCCCATCCAGTCTGGGCTCTTTGTCTCTTTGAATTTTTCCTTGTTAAGAACTTGCCATGAAAAGTATTATATTCTTCACTGAACCTGAATTCTTATTTGCCGTGGATTATGTATCTTCATCATCAATAGCCCAAAGCTGCAATATGGCTTAGACTTATTCTTACTCTCAGACTTTCCTATGCTTGTAGAAATGTAGTATGAGGATTCCTAAGTAGATGTTTTGGTTGTTGAACTCCCTCTGTGTGTGGGCTTACTTGGGAATAACTCTTGAAACTGTTCTGACTCACAAATTTGATAGGTCTTGACACATGTAACATGGACATTTCCAGCACCCATGAAGGTTGGATTTAAATTGTTTGGCTTTATAGATTTATTTAGGTCTTTTCTTAGAACACTTGTCTTTGATTGACTGAGATGGCTTATGCAAGGAATCATTCAAGACCCTTGCCCTGTATTCTGTGCCTCAGAAATCAAAATAGGAAAATTGAGTTGTTTGGATGTCTGACATGTACAGCTTTGGAACAGTGTATAACTAATGCAAAAGCATACAGCTAAGTGTTACCAGTTATCTAATTTCCAAAGAATATAACAATTAAGCTTTCACTAAGGGATTATTTATTATAATAAGAGAGTCTCACTGATTTGGCCTGTTCGATGTCAAAAAGCTGGACTGTTTGAAGGATCAGACCAACAACAATTACTCATAATCCATAAAATTGGTTACATGAAGGAAGAGTTGGCTGGGCAGGGGGTAATGGTCAAAACAAATGCACATCCATCCAAAACAGTAACAGTATTCAGCCTAATGTGTTTTCATCTGCAGCCAAGACACAACTGAGGAAGGTAAAGTGAGTTCTACTTTCCTTTACCACTGCTGTAAATCCACTTTAGAAGGAACAGCCCTGGGCTAGACAGCCAATTCTTGAAAAACTCTGATAAGAGAACAGGCTGTGGCCAGAATTTTTTTTTAACACTAAGGTAAAGAATTAACATTTATTGACATTTTCATACAGCTAATGCACTGTCAGTTGCAGATTAAAATATCCTACAATCTGAAGGACAGGAATTGGAATCTCTATGCCACAAGCATATATTTTGAAGTGCAGGGAAATACACTGTGAAGTCTTAAAAGCCAGGGGAAGAGAGGCAACATTTACTGTGGTAAGGGGCAAAAGACAACCTGCATAATCTTTTGTCCCCACCCCACCTCTTGAGAAGCCAAACCAGAATAACTTACAAAAATAAGCAAGCACTGAAGATTTGTTACTTAGCATAATTACCTTGGTATCATAATTAAGCTTTTCATCACACAAAAATTGAGTCACAAAGGGCATAATCCTATGGAAATACTCATAATCTTCTGAACACAGAGGATTAGACAGCTTATGCAGTGTAGGAGGCACCACCAAAATATGCACAGCTAGACAGAATCTCAGTCTCCTTTGCTTCTGTGCTCCTCCCACGGTCAATTTTAACAGTGCAGCACTTTGAGGCCAGACTGAAAGAGACTGATATACCTCTAGGATAAGCCATATCTAGGCAGCGCTGGTCTCATCCCCTCCCTGCTCCTGCCCTCAAAATAACTTCTCCAAGGTCACTCCTGCAGCCTCACAGCCAATGATGTGGAGGAGCAATTTTACACTCTTGAAGTTGGGCATTCAAAAAATCCTATGGTCATCTAAATGATGTCTAATGGCCAGAGGATTGCTTTGCTTTGCACTGTAGAAGAAATCAGGATGAACCTCTGAAGAGTGGTTTAACTTTTAAAATTATGGTTTATAGGCATCACATTTTTAGCATATTTACGATAAGCAACTCGTGGAAGTTGTGACTCACCAGATAGTTTAACTTACAATTCTTTTACGCTGGCTATATTAACTAGGGCTATTGGGAGTTATAGGCCAAAATACCTGCAGGACTGAAAGCTACTCATACTTCACAGAGGTCTGAAACTTCACTCACTGAGAAAACCAGTATCTGTTATATGGAAAAGTGACCGAAAAATAAGCCTTCAAGTTTCCAACAGTAACAGTTTGCCGTACAAGATCACATGCATTGCTGTATTTACCTCTGCAGCTTTGCAATAACAACATTCAGAAGAGAAAGATTTACCATTCAGTTTGAAAGCAGTCTAGTGTTCTGTTCATGCCCATTCTGATTAGAAAATTACAGAGAAAGTCATCTACAACTTCAGGTGTTTCAGACAGGGAAGTTTTAGTGATCTGTCCTGGTCGCTGAGCCTAGCAAGAAAATTCAGGAGCCAATATTAGAAAACAGTTGATCTGTTTGCTTCCTTTCTTTCAAGAATATTTTAAATCACAGGTAGGTTAGATATTTACCATGAAAGTTACAAATATGATACATAGAACTATAGCACTAGGCTTATTAGATTAACTTCATGCCTTGAATGTCTCCAGGATCTGGTTCATGCCTCCTAAACAACACATTCAACAATCATACTGGAATGGTGTAGTTCTTCTAAACTGTCACACAGTTGAATTTTGTGAGTCTTACTTCCAAGTGTGCAATGTGTACTTTATCCTTAATCAATTAAAAATCGGCCCCAATCCAATTCTAAGAAAATGAAACAGGTTTCATTCCATGAAACTTGGTGGTATATGCATTGCTGAATCTACTTAAGACCTATGCAACTATTTCAGTGAGGCCCAGATGAGCACCATGATGTGGATGCAACTGTGCATCTAAAGTTGCCTGTATACAGCCATTTCACCTGCACAAGTATAAATCTGTTTCTTGAGGCAAATTCTGCACTTTGCTGTGTATTAGAGAAAATAATGACTAATTGTACCTGAATGTATTAAGTTAACCAAAATTCCTCCTGTTCAATCTGCACATAATCATGCACTCAAGCATGAATTACTATACCAATGACCAAGCTCAACTTTTCAGTTTTACCCAAAACTGGGCCTGTACTCTTTATCCTTATCCAGTGTCAGGTACGATTAATGCATTTGGTCTTTCAGAACTGAACACAGGATGGCGACTGACTGACATACACACACATACTTAAAATATAGTCTTATCTATTCTAAACCCTCGAAATATGACAGTAAGCAAAATAGTGTATATACAAGACAGTATTATATGTTGCTTTTTATATGGCCCTGTTTTAGGAATTGTTGTAAACTTCCCAGAGAACTTTAGCCATTGGATGATACAGAAAATAATTAAATACATACATACATAGGCTAGTAAATCAGAAATTTCAGTAACTCACAAAATACAGTTCTATTATGGATTAAAGTTCTAATGGTTTGCTGGGTAGAAAACAAGTTTTAGCCTGTATATCTGTGGGTTCTGAAGAAGTTTTGTTTTGTTTTTGGAAACTATTTGGGTTCTGATCATTGAGGATATGAAAAATGAAAAAGTATGAAATTTAATCCTAGCAAGTAGAAGCTTTTATTTCATAGACTAATTTTTTCATTAACTCAAAACATGTATATAGAAAGCTTCTGGCAATACTAAAATCTATTTAATTTAATTAATTGTTCCACCTGAGACTGCAAACTGCCAACACTACCTCTTACTCCATCATAAGTTTTGCTTATAGACTATGCTCAACCTTCACTAAACATCTAGAGAAAAAGAATTCCACAGCTGTAGAGCAACTCCTTTTTGGCCCTGGAGGCTAAATTCCAATATGGGGAAGTCTTGGGAGGCGAGGGGGAGGTAGTATATTCAAGCACTGGGTGAGACTAAGGGATCTAGGCAAGAGCAAAAAGCAAAGTGAGCAGGGCCAGATGTAATCCTAACCCGTTTGGACATTTTTCCACCAAGTATAAAAACACAAATCAATTCTAGGCAAATATGCTCATGAGTAAGTATTAGTAAAACTGTTTTTATGCTTGCAAAATGCACAACTCAATGATTTACATGATATGTAAAGGTTAATTGCTTCTAAAACCACTTTTCTCTCAGATCTAATAGTAAAAGAACCATATTGGAAAACCCTGGCCCAGCAAAAATGCCTCCCAACCTATCCATAATGATCAGTGTACAAATGGTACTGTTAAGTGGGTACTCTTAGTTGACTTTAGCAATTTTAGCAAACCACAGAAAATAGCGATATTAAAAGTCACGCAAGCTATAAAGTCAATAGTATTCTGTAAATTAAAAGCAGCATTATACTGCATTTTGATAGCTATGGTAAATATGTTGTGACCTTGGGCAGATGATACTACTGTAATATGATAGCAAGCTAAACTAGTAATCTGCATATAATATACTGGTTTGTACAATGAGAACAGTCAGTTGATCTTCAAGAGAGGCAAAGCGTGTGACCATTTCTTAAAGTCAAACTTAGCAGTCATTCTTGATTATATAGGCATATTTATAATTTGTCATCTTTTCTGAATAAGCCATAGGTGCAGCCATTGCTCTGCACCCAAAAGCTCCTGCACAGTGAACATCGGAATAAACCTATACAGCTGAGTATATGGTAAATGAAAGATAAGCAACTTTAAAGTAGTTTAAAGTTGTGCCTCTTGCATATCTGGAACTTCAAACCATAGTTTCAGTGCTAAACTATAGTTGGGACAAACTGGCATAGTTGGCAGAAAAGTTCTCTTGCACTTTTTTAACCACCTAGAATCAATAAAAACAAAATGTACAAATAATAATCTTACAAAGCTGCTTCTCCATGGATCACTTTACAGAAACATATTGCATGGAATAAATAGTAACATGCATGACAGACAAGCCTCTACAAACACACAGGAAAAGGAAGGATAGCTACAGCATGGAAAAGGAAGACGCACATTTACCCTCAGGGAAAAATAAGATTTGCAGAGTTACCAAAACTAATCTCTAAATGAAACTACATAGTCATACTCTTCATCATGTACTGTGATTAACTCCTACTCATTAATTGTAATAATTAACTGTGCAGCAAACTATTAATTATTGCAATGGCCTGGAAATTTATGAAATGCTTTTGACCTCAATATTTATGGCTGCAACTCAAAGAACTGGTTGTGCATAGACAAGAGGGCTATTGGTTTTTTCCTCTCAATGTTCTACATCGAGCCACTATTTTTGAACTCAGGGAAGTTTCAGAAGAAGTGTCTGCAAAATAGCAGGATGAGATCTCTCTTAAAGTAGCTACATTGGATGTTGGTGCCTATGTTAATGCAGACTGGAAACTTCATGATCACGTAACTCCTTTAATGAACTGAAAATTGAGCACTACTTCTTGCTGAAATTATCTATTTTTAAAATTATACCTCTCTCATACACACACACATGCACACACACAAGTTGCATGTGTTCAAAGGAACTTTGGTCTCCTACTAGTACTGGGAAGAGCAGGTTGCTTACCTATAACTCATGTTCTTCGAGTGGCCATCTGTGCAGTCACACATATGGGTGCTGCGCCTGCGCAGTGCCTTTGGCCGGAAGATTAACAGCTAATGGTTTTGGCGGGAAACTCCGCTCCCCCTCCCCCATAGTATTATATAAGGAACAGAGTATCCGCCATTTTCCAGTCTTTGAAAGACCAGACATTCGCTCCCTTAATAAAGTTATTGTCAGTATGGAAAAACTAAAACTTCAGTGGTACGACAAATAGCTAGAGAGATCCTAGCATCGAAGAGAAGAAAGTCGGACCACCCATGACACCAAGCGAGGTGGGTGGGTGGGTTGTGTGACTGCACAGATGGCCACTCGAAGAACATCAGTTACAGGTAAGCAACCTGCTCTTCTTCGTTGTGGCCTTTGTGCATCACACATATGGGTAGAATAACAAGCTTACCCGAACTAGAGGAGAGAGGTGTCATCAACGAAGAATAGAAGAAAGAACAGCCCTGCCAAAAGAGCAATCTCGTCTGGCACGAACATCTAGTCTATAGTGTCTGGCAAATGTACACGGGGTAGCCCAAGTGGCAGCTCTGCAGATGTCTTCCATTGGGACTCCCGATGCAAAGGCTGAGGAAGCAGCAACAGCCCTGGTAGAGTGACCTCTTGGAGTAGATGGTAAGTCCAATGTAGCCAACTGGTAAGACAGAGCAATTGTATTTACTATCCATTTCGAAAGTCATTGGGAAGTGACCGGATAGCCCTGGTTGTGCTCCGAGTATTTAACAAAAAGTCTGTTAGAGTGCTGAACAGACTCAGTCCTGGACCTATAAAAAGCTAGGCAATGATGAACATCCAGCATATGCAGGGACCTCTCTATCGGATTCAAAGGAGCCAGAAAGAATGCCGGTAAAACAATCTCTTGATCCATGTGGAACGAAGTAGCGACCTTAGGAAGAAAGGACGGGTCTAGCCGTAGAACTACCTTTTCCTTATGAAAATTCAGAAAAGGAGGGTCTACCCTAAAGGCACAAAGTTCAGAAGATCTACGGGCTGAAGTAACTGCTACGAGGAAAGCAGTCTTCCAGGAGACTGGGCTCGAAAGGGGGTCATGTCAGTGCCTGTAAAACTACTGAAAGACTCCAAGAGGGCATCAGTGGCCTGATTGTTGGATGGAGGTTACAAAGTCCTCTCAAAACTCTTTTAATCAAAGGTTGAGAAAAAATAGAGAAACGAGAGCGAAGCGAGAGCGAAAGTGAGAGCAAAGCGGCACGAGGCACAACGAACGCGGTCGCAAAGACTGGAAAATGGCGGATACTCCGCTCCTTATATAATACTAGAGGAGAGGGGGAGCAGAGTTTCCCGCCAAACCCGTTAGCTGTTAATCTTCCGGCCAAAGGCACTGCGCAGGCGCAGAACCAATACGTGTGATGCACAGAGGCCACGACAAAGAATGCTAAATAGCATGGGCACATCCAAAGAAGGTGCCTGGTTCCCATTATTACCATGAAAACTCAATGACAATTCCAATTAGCATATTCTTTCCATTGTACCTAATGGATAAATTGCCACATCTGAATAGATTTTTATAAAAATGCACTTTGATCAGGTGGGTGTGTAGAATCAATCTGCTCAATTTGTTTCAATTATGCACCTATACCTAGGTTGTGAGCCTTATTTTGGCAAATCACAAAGCAATATTATTCCTTTCACACTAAAAATTCAGCATGTAAAACATCTTTGCTCTCCAAGTCAATGCATATGATGTGGAAGTAACATGACATTATTAACTGGAAAGTTAGACATATACAGTTAGTCATATAAATTGAAAGACAAGATGGTTACCATAATTTGAGCATCAACTGCCTGTTCCTGCATAGTGTGTAAAGCCTTTGCTAGGTCTTCATCCCCCTCCTGCAGGCTATATTCCTCATCAGCTGGTACCTAAGCCAGAGTTATAAACACATTATAAATACATATAAATGAGTTTATTCACCAAGCAGAATATTTTCAGTCAGTACAGTTAATTGCCATAATTAAGTGGGAGAGACAGAAAGAGAAATTTTGTTTCTCTTTCTCACTCAATTTTTGTTCTCTCCTTGAATACTGCTGGTTTCAGCCATAGTAGCACTGGTATGCGGGCAACAACATTTATGTATTTATCTATCAAAACTTTTATACACCATCCATAAATAGCCACATGGCTCTCTGAACAGTTTACAATACAATGGTTTACAAAATTACTTCTTAGGGAATGCTGCCTTTCTTCAGTCCCACTTTATATAATTAATCCATTCAAATTAACTCTTTGAGGAAGGACAATTCACACAATATTCCCTGGAGCCATCTACAGTGGTATCTCGGCTCACAAACTTAATCTGTTCCACGACTCTGGTCGCTACTGATCGCAAGCCAAGTCAAATTTCCACATAAGGTTCAATGTAAATAAGGTTAATCCATTCTGTAAATATTTTTTTTTAATCACAAGGAAGACAGGTGCGATGGCGGGTGCGCTTGGGGGGAGGGAGACAGGCACAATTGCAGGTGCGCTCGTGCAGGGAAAACGGGCGTGATTGTGGCCATCTCCCTCCCCCAGCATGATCGCAGCCATCTCCGCCCCCAAGACCGCGATCACACCTGTGCAGGAAAGACGGGCACGATCGCGATCATCAGTCAATGCAGAGTTTGTGACCTGAGTCAAAATTTTTCTGAAATTTCTGTTTGTGACCCAATTTGGTCATGCACTGAGGTGTTTGTGAGCCAAGGTACCACTGTACTGGCTCTAATCCATACACAGACTTGCATGCATGCAAGGAATCACATATTTCTTCTGTCTGCTAGAAGTTGTTACACACACAAGATAGTTATAGCCACAGAAAGACCTGTATCATTTTCCTTCACAAGAGAATCTTTCTCCATATTCACGGCTTTAATTCATAGCCTGCATTAAGAGCACAATGCCACATATGTTCAGACAGACAAAAGGTCCCATAACTCACATCATGCTGCAGACAACCATGCTAGCTGGGGAATGCTGAGAGTTGAAGGGCTTCTTTCTTTCTCAATGAGCATAAGGCCCAATCCTATGTACCTACACACAGATAAAAGGCCTATAACTCCCAGCATGCACCATCCAGTGTGGCTTGCTGGGTCATACTGGGACATGAAGGCTTTGGCTCTCTAAATATGCATAGCATTGTGACCTAAGTTATTATTCTACAAATGTGTATCAATTTATCAGATCTCAAAACTGAGATGAGACAAAGTTCAGAAACTAAACAGAACTTATTCAATCAATCAATCAGTCAATCGATTGATATTTACCTATATCACTAGTGGATATGTTTCTGTTGTTTTGTCTATCAATATTTCATACCAATAAATATTTATATGAATCTTTTGATTGTTTTACAAAGATAACATTGACAACTGTTGAATAAAATAGCCATACAAAGGATACTTTTCATTATATTTCATTTTCATATATACACGTACATCAGCCCAATAAATGCTTCAGGAAGCCACTGTCTGCCTTTGGCATTTGGGATGAAAAGAACCATCAGCACACAAAAAGTTCATGGGCTATCCTACTACAATATAGGCCTAGCAACTATGAAACTGTGATGAAGGTTAATAACATGAATGCTCAGGAAACAAGTCACCAATAATATCCCAAAATGGATTAACTAAGTATATTTAACTGTTTTTAAATCTATAGTACTAATTAACAATTTTATGTTTAAAATTATTATGGCTGCAACATAACATTATGCAATATGTCAGACTTAACTTTAATGGGCAACAACTCCACAGGAGTGAAATTTAAAATAATAGAATATTGTTGGCAGGCGGCTGGGTGTAAGAGCCAAAGAGATGAGGTTCTAACACATTCCAAGGCTGTTTTAAAAGGTTCAATCCAGCATCATGTGGAAAACAAGCTTGGAGAGCTTCTATCTCCAGCTGACATGGTCAATACCCAGCAAACAATTCCCCCATGGATCTGGACTTCTGGTCACACATTTAGGACAGGATTCAATGATACAGTCTAATTACCAATAGTAAAATGAGTACCCCACAATGGGAATTGAAAATTTTTGATTTGCAATTCCCCCCACCTTACACTATTCCTTTGTCTCTAGTGAGTGGAGCCGGCTGGAGCCAGGGGTCAGACTAGATGGCCTGGGAGACCCCTTCTGACTCGCTCTGTTTCTATGTCTTAGAAGTCCAATTTACTATAATGTTCCAGAAACCATAGTGCAAACTATCCAAGTCAGAACCAGTTGTGCATAGTTTTCCAAACATGTCCTCAATTTGAACATCAAGTTGATTTTTCCACCTTTGAATCCTGTACATAGAGCTGCACAGTCCCTGTTTGATGTTCTGTTCATATGTGCATAGGTTTATTAGTTATATAGGAGTTATTAAACTCCTTAATTGAGTTTGTATAATAACTATTGTGAGCATATTTCTCAAGACAAATCTGCAACATGCTACTGTCAAGGTTAAAATCCTGTGTATATGTGCACACAATCAAGAAAGGATGCAATTAACATAATAGTGCAGAAACACCATAGGTCTTTATAGGGCCCCAATATCTCTACTTTCCATCTTAGTGCACATGCCCAAAATGCCAAGCCATTAGAGGAATCAAATCCATCACATTTCCACTATCAGGCAGGATCTAAAGTATGCCAACCCTGAATCAAGTAGTTTGTGATCTTTCATGTTGGTGGAGAGTCTGTAAGAAAACCAAACAGCTGCAAATGGTCAAATTTTTAACAAGCCCCCCCCCCCACACACACACACATACACACCTTCTGCTCTGTCAGCTTTTCCTCCCTTTTGGTTTCCCGCCATATCACAGAATCTCTCTGCCCATTTCTTACCTCTTCATACTGATAATCATCTTCAGAGCTTTCTGTTACTGTAATCTCTGCATAGCCAGTTAAGTCTAGAACAGCAAATGTTTGTTTCAAACACAGCTTTGTAGCATGCTATATTTTAAAATGCATCTATGTATTCTCTGGTATTAGAAGGGCATTGAGCAAAACACATTCTGCAACTCTTTGTATAAGCAAATTTTGTTTACAGCTGTATGCCTACATGTGCAAGAATGAAGCAATAGTTTTCCATCTGGTAACAAAAATTACCTCTCACACTTTTAAGAATACTATTTGGTTAAACCTTTCTTTGTGTTGATTCAGGAATTCAGTTTGCTAGCTCTAAAAACATGCTGGATTGAGTTCTATTCTCAGCTCTACTCTGCTTCAGGCGCCCATGGTGTTATGTTTCCTGATGGATATCAATTATTAGTCATAAAGCACCTGCTCACACAATTATTAATCCTAATTTAATTTTAGACAGAGTGAATTTTAGTTCTTGAAGTTATGAACATTTCAATTAAGCAATCTAAACATAATTCACTAGAATTACATGCATAATGGAATTTTTTCTTCACATCCTCAAAAATTATATATATTTCGTAGCTGTGGAGGTGGAGCTAATTCATTGTTGCAGCAATGTCAACCATCTTAAGCAGGGAGACTGCAGAAAGGCATCATTCTTCTGTCTTTTTCTTGCAGATATGTTGTCTAGGGACATTAATCACAATTGTCACAAAATTCTGCAAGCCAGTACTTGACAATGAAAGTATCGAAATGACCAATGATGGCGAACCTTTTAAAGACCAAGTGCCCAAACTGCAACCCAAAACCCACTTATTCATCACAAAGTGCCAACACTGCAATAAAACCTGAATACTGAGGTTTCAGTTTAGAAAAAACAACTCACAGCCACTCCAAGCAAATATATACATATCCTTGGCAGCACACTGACTGGCCATGTGAAAACTCGGACAAGTCATGGCTAATGAGTCGCGGCTTGTGATGTCATCGCCTGGCGCCGCTACTCCTTTCCAAGCATGAGCATGGCCCCTATGTGCACTGTTATCCAATGCTCACCTGCTGGGGCGATGCTGGGGCGACTTGGCTCGTGTGCTGACAGAGAGGGCTCTGCATGCCCGCTGTGCCACACGTGCCACAGATTCGCCACCACTGGAAATGAATAATTTTAAAAGTATACTTGTAGCCCTTATTGCTGTGAAGGAAAAAAAAAACCTTTTAGATATATTCCTAATACCTGGGAGAAACTCAGAAAGAATAAGGGAGATAATAAAAGCAAAATGTCATATGATCAGTATCAAATAATTCCTTAGCCACAACCATTGTTTGCTTTTTTTTCTCCCTGCTCAATAGACCACCTAAACCCAATCTGAATATTTTCCCTGTTTCATGCGCTCACCATCTATTAGACTGAGGGACATAAGAGATACGGCCTTTTCTGTGGCTTCCTCGTTTTTGTGGAATGTCCTAACCACAGGAATTGTGTGAGAATCACTTCCTGACATTTTAAATATGCCTTAAATGCCTACATGTTCCAGTTTACTTTTGAAAAAATGGCTGACCATTTTTATTTTATACTTTAACAGTGCAATCCTATGCATGTTTAGATAGAACTGGCATAGGACTACTCATTACTGTTCTATGCTGCTATTATAGTTAATTGTAAACTGTATCTTGTAAACCAGCTTGAAAAGGCTTTGCTCAAAAGACTGCACAAAATATTTTGAATAAAATTAATTCTAAAGCAGACTACTATTGTTCTTCATTCACACAGGGGTAATAGAGGGACCAAATTGGTTGCAGAAGTTTATCTACAATTGCAAATTGAAAAAGGAAGCTGAATATGAGCATTATTGGCATGCCATTTTTTGACAAATAAAGCATTTAACATTAAAGCATGTGTAATATTATGTGAAGAATAAATCTTTGTTGTCATTCAGGCTACATATGCCTAGGAAAATGATATGAACATTTTCAAGAACATTGTGCTATATCTGATAATACAATTTCCATGAATTTTAGACACAACAGAAAAATGAGTGCCTCATATATTTGAGAAGCTATATGTATTATATTTTAAACTCCTTTAAAGATTCTAAAATCTGCAACATAGTTGTGAAGAAATTTACTCTTATCAATGATATAGAAACAATATGAATGCAAAAAACTATCAACTATGTTCTATTATATAGCATGCACCCCCAAAAGCCAGATCTCTGAATCTTTACATAGAACATAGTACCGCAGAATCATAGAATAGTAGAGTTGGAAGGAGTCATGAATGCCCTGGGGTCCAACCCCCTGCTGTTGCATGACACTAGTTTATACCATCCCACTCAGCTGATAGTCTAGTTTCACTTTAATGTGTCTAGTGTAGGAGAGTCCACGACCTCTCTGGGCAACTGGTTTCACTGTCTTATTGCTTTGACAGTGAGGAAACATTTTCTGATATCTAGCCTGGATTTGGGTTGTCATGACTTGAACTGATTATTCCATGTCCTACACTCTGGTATCAGCGAGAAGAGATCTTGATCATCCTCTTTGCGACAGCCTTTGAGGTACTTATAGAGGGACATCCTGTACCCTGTCAGGCTTCTTTTCTCAAGGCTGAACATGCCCAGTTCTCTCAGTCTCTCCTCACAGGGCAGTGTTTCCAAACCCCGGAACATTTTTGTTGCCCTCCTCTGGACCCTTTCTTAAATTTTGGTGCTCAGAACTGCACACAGTATTTCAGATGAGGTCTGACTAGTGAGTGAGGAGTATAGGAGAATGAGTACTTCTCATGATTTGGAAGTAATATTTCTATTAATGCATCCCAAAAGAACACTTTGCTTTTTTGCAGCTACATCGCATTATTTGCTCATATTTAGCCTGTTGTCCACAATAACTCCAAGATCTTTTTCCTTTTCAGTTGTGTTGAGTCACTTATTCCCCATCTTCTATCATGCATTTGCTTTCTTTTTCCTAGTGGAGGACTTGGCACTTGCCCCTATTGAATCTCTTTTTTTGCTTTCAGTCCAGCGTTCAAGTTCATTCTGTCTTCTAGGGTTTTCACTAATCCACCCAGTTTTGTATCATCTGCAAATCTGATTATCTTTTCTTGTACTTCCTCATCTAAATCATTAATAAAGATGTTGAAGAGCACTGGGCCCAGGACTGAACCCTGTGGCACCCCACTAGTTACTTCCCTCCAGTATGAGGTGTCGTTGATGAGCATACTTTATGTCTGATTTAACAGCCAATTTTGGATCCACCTAATAGTTTTTCCAAGTAGTCCAGTTTTTGCTAATTTGCTTATCAGAATGTTGTGGAGTACTAAGTTGACAGCTTTGTTACAGTCAAAGTAGTTTATGTCCACAATGTTCCCTCTGTCCATTTGAGAGGTAAACCAGTCAAAAACTGAGTATGACAGGCTTTATTTTTGATAAATCCGTGCTGGATTTTATTAAACACTGCATTTTTTTTCAAGGTGCTTGAAGACTGTTTTTTTAATAATTTGCTCCAGAATTTTTCCAGGGATTGATGTCAAACTAATTGGTCTGTAGTTCCCAGGTTCATCTTTTTCCCCCTTTTGAAGATGGGGACATAAGCCCTTCTCCAGTCGTCTGATAAGTCTTCTCTTTTCCAAGATTTATCAAAGATAATAGTGGTTCTGAGAGTTCTTCCACTACTCTTTTATGACTCTGGGATAGAGTCCATCGGACCCTGCAGATTTGATCATGTTTATTCCACCTAGGTATTCCTTGACCATTTGCCTCTCAATCTTGGGCTGTCATCTCTCACTTCCAGCTTGTATTTCCCCTTTCTTGTAGATTTTCTTGTGGGAGAAGACTGAGGCAAAATAGGAATTGAGCACCTCCATCTTTTTCTTGTCTAATATTACTCTGCCATCCACATTAAGAACTTGGCTACTTTCTCCTTCACATCTTGGAGGTATCTGAAGATGGCTTTCTTTTTGTTCCTAGCATCCCTTGCTATTCTCAGTTCATTTCCAGTTTTACTCTTCTTGATGCCAACCCTGCAATTCCTTGCTATTTGTTTTTATTCTTCCTTGGTGGCCTGTCCCTGCTTCCACTTCTTGTACATGTTCTTTTTCCTTTTCAGGTTCTTGCAGGTTTTTCTGGAGCCATGTGGGCTTCCTTTGTTATCTTTTACGCTTTTTTCTTGATGGAATTGTTCATAGTTGTGCTTGGAGAATCTTCTTTTTCAAGATTTCCCACTGTTATTGGACTCTTTTTCCCTTAAGAATGAGTTGCCATGGCACCTCACTTATCATTTTTCTGAGTTTGTTAAATTTTGATTTCTTGAAGTCCAGGGTTTGTGTTGGCTATCTTGAAGGCCAAAGGGTAACCTGTTTAGCTGATATGATCAAGTATACTTCTAGAGCCTTGGATACAAGAATTATACAAATGGGGGATGAGCCCACTAAAAAACAAAATCAGGGAGAAATTGGTTTTTTATAAATCTGTTCAATGTAGATCTGTAAATATAGAAAAGCTTGGATATTTTATGTGCAACTGTGGCATGTTTTAAGTTCCTGTTAAATATCCATCACTTTACCCAAACCTTCAGAATGATAATGATCAGTGTCAGTTCCAGGCTTTTAAACATTGCAACTGATGAGTTTTAAGTTTGTTATTACACCTGTTAATGCTTCTATAAATAAGTTACTTGCATATTAAACCACAGATTATCCTTAACAGACATTGTATGACAAAAGGTTGGCAAACGACGATGAAACACAAATCATAAAAAGCAAAAACTGCATATACAAGGTTTTGGAAAATTACTGAAAATCATGAGTTTTAGGTTGTTTTTGGAAAGAAACTCACTAGTTCCTAAATATTTTACTGAATGAGCCTACAAAGTGCATTTCATCAATATCTGAGATTCAGCTGTCTGCTCTGCCCCACTCCTTCAAGTATACTCTCATCAGTATATTCTACTCACACCAGATTACTGAAGTTTTGAGAAACTGGTGAAAATTTAAAC